AATATAACACCTCCATTCTCCAGGCGGGCTCCTGACTTCGACAATTTCTTAAAAATATAACACCTCTATTCTCCAGGCGGGCTCCTGACTTCAATAAACCTTAAAATATAACACTTCCATTCTCCAGGCGGGCTCCTGACTTCAACTATTTCTTAAAATATAACACCTCCATTCTCCAGGCGGGCTCCTGACTCAACAACTTTAAAAATGCACTCTATTGTCGTTGTTCCTTCCTCCCTCTTGAACCATTTTCCTTCTAACTTGAATTATCTTCTTTCAGAACTGCTTCCCTCAAAACTGGTGTTTCATTCCTCTGAAAACTGCTGGGGATAACACCGGTGTTTCATTCGAAAATATGTTATTTTCCTCCTTCAAAGACTACTTCCCTTAATGCTGGTGTTTTCCTTCCTCTGGAACTACTTCTCTTAAGACTTGTGTTATCTTCCTCCCAAAATTGCTTTCTTTAAAACTTGTTTTGTCTTCTGATGGGGATACCACTTTTCTCCAAACTTGTGTTATCTTACTTCCTCCCCAAGTGGGTCCCTAACTTCCAGAAAATTTTATACCCCAGTTTGACAATTTTTCTTGTGGCATGTCTTTCTTTCATCAATAATATTTCTTGTCCCTGCTTAAAATCAAAGAGAATTTGTTAGTTTAAAACGTAGAGGATGTTCCTGCTGGGGACGGTTTTCCCTTTCGCTCTTTTCCATGTTCTGCGTTGTTCGACCATCTTGCAACTTGGCTGATAACTTCTGACCTTCTTGATGATTCTGTATTCACCAACTTCTCCACCGCTGTTTTCCACCTTTGCTCCATACCGTCCTGAAATCTTAGACCAATCCATCATTTGGCCTTATAATGACGTCTTCCTTGTCCCGTCACATTATCTTTGGCCTATCCTATGCACATTTTACTTTGCACCATATTGGAACTGGTAGTAAGCTCCGAAAATCCCTCTCAAAAACAAACTACTATAAAAAATCAATACTCATAAGGGCTTGATATACTTCATCATGAGTAACATGTGTTATCAGTTGCAGTTGTTGTTGTTGTTGCCTATTAAGCACATTCCCACGCTTCATGATCTCAGGATTTATTGCTGGTAGTTGATCAGCAGCACTGTCTAGGAGCTTTTTATAGAAACTAGTCACCTCTTCTACTATGTTTTCTGGTTGTTGAAGGATATCACCATTAGAATCAATAAGGCTTTTGATCCTGTTTTGAGCCTGTCTACTCTTCAAACTAGCAAAAAAAATAAGCATTGTTATCATCTCCTAGTTCCAGCCATTAGTTTATTGATTTCTTTTTAAGAATACTTTCCTCCACTAGGTTCCATTTCTCTAGTTCAAACTTCGACTTCTTTTTCTTCTGCAGACAACACATCTGGCTGAGTATGGCTTCCCATTTGTGTTTGAATATCATGCAACTTCTGCCTATAGAACTCAGTTTTCTCCCCTACATTTCTGAATTCTTTTTGGTTCGGTTATTTCAACTCTCTCTTCATTGCTTTTAGTTTTCACCTTATGTCTGCTATGTGATTCTTTTCTGTTGTCCTACACCAAGTATTTGCCACCACATTTAGAAAGTCTTTGTGCTCTGCTAGGCAGTTAAGAAATCTGAAGGGCTTTGAACTCCCCTTCACATCATCCTTAAGTTGGATACTTAGTGGAGTGTGATATGAAATCTCAGGGTTTAAAACTATCACTTCAGTAACAGTTACTGTCAATAACCATTCAGCATTCACAAGAGCTCTGTCTATTGTACTACAAATTTGTCCATTTGACCATGTGTATCTTCTCCCTATTGCACGTAATTCAGTCATGCCACTGGCTTGCAGGAAGTCATTGAAATCCTTTATCTCATTTGTTGCCAAACTGTCTGTCATCTATGTCAGTTATAACATTGAAATCTCCAATAGCTAATCCTGGTCTTTGAACAGAATTATTGACACTCCTCAATTATTCCCATAGATCCTTCTTTGTCTCAATAGTATGCATTCCATAAACTATTGTCAAGTTAAGTTTTAGGTGCAAATGAAAGATGCTAAGAATACCATGAATGGCCTGAGCACTCATGCTAGTTGCTTCAAATTCCACTCTGTTTGGATCCCAAATAATCCATATTCTGCCTTTAGAGCTATGTGAGTAATTTGCACATCATCTCCAGTTTGCTCCAATCTTATTTATCACACTACTAGAATTCTCCTCCTTTACTCTATTCTCCAGTATAGCTATCAGTTCTACATTATTATTTATAATAAACTTCTTTACTTCTTTTTGCTTATAAACTTTATTTACACCCCTCACATTCCAAGCTATAAATCTCATTTACTTGTTTGCTTTGATTTTGGATCTCCAGTATCACCTTGGTAACTACATTGGCCTTTCTCCACAGTTATATCAACTATCTCATAGCTGAGTAGACTAAAGTCATTCACAATATTGATGCCAGTATCTCTTCTTATGTTAGCTAGTCCATTTTTTTCTGCAGACTTCCTCTTAGCTAGTTCCCATTCTGGTACTTTCTCATTCCCATCAGTTGTCTTGGTTGTCTGTATTATACTATTAGTTTGACATTTTCACCCTTCTCAGCCTTATCTGCTTCTCGTCTTCTCCTCCACTTCATCCTTGGTTTTGGTTACTTTTGTTTACCCTCAGGTACTGTCTGTGCTGCCCTGCAACTGTGGCCAACCTGAAGACAGGTGTGGTAATATTCTGGTACCCAATCATAAGCAATCTGTTGCTCAAAAACTTTGCCTATAGGATCCATAACCTTTATGACATTAGGCAGCTCCTTTGTAACATCCATTTATACCAATAGCCTTGCATAAGAAATCCGCTCAGTTTTAGATGTACATTCATCTGTATATAGTGGTACTCCTAAGCCACTCCCAATCCTAGTGAATGAATCCTTACTCCAGCAATTTAATGGCAAATTAGGCAGTTTCACCCATATCAGAATTGTCTGCAGAACTTCCTTACTAAAGTTGAAATTAGGCGATCATGCTTTGACAATTATAGGTTTATTTCTTATAGTATAAGGCCCTGACATCAGCACAACATCCCTATCATCCACACTATTAAATTTTACCACAAAATAGCCGTCATTATGGAATAGATTTTTGGTTTGTTGACAAAATTCCACTGCACTACAATAAATCGATCCAAAACACCTATTGAGGGAGAATCACCTACAACATATAGTACAATTGTAATTTCCATTTCATTGTTTCACGCTCAACCTCAGCATTATCTAGCTTGACTATTTTTGACCATCAGAGCAATGAATTTGAGATTCATACCTCTAGCCACTAAATTGTTCCCAGTAAATTGGTTCACCCATTCCTTTTTGTTTATTTGCGGCTCCTCATCTAGCTTTTTGTGAATTTGAACTTCATGCTCTGTAATTTGCTTCGTTGCTTCCATCTGTTGTATCACCTTCTCTGGATCGCCTTTTCAACCTCAATTTTCTCTGTATTTGGATTCTGCACCAGTGTCTTTACAGTTTGGCTATGTTCTGATCTAGCTGAATTCACTCCATGCAAAGGCGGCCATGTCTCGTTTGAGCTCTGCAACTATTTCATTGAGCTTTGCAATTTCTGCATGTCTTCAATTCTCCTCAATTGTTCCTTCCCATCAACTTTTATCAAACTTGCTGGCTCCTTACTTGAATTTGTGATCTGAATCACTCTCTTTGGTCTCCCTCTACCCATGCTGGCAGAGGCGCACATTAGCTCACCATCAATGCGCTTCAGTCCTCGATGATTTTAGAGAGAGAAAGTTAGAGAGAAGTCAGAGTTTTTTTGTCAAAATTAGGCAATAATAAGATGCATTACGAAAGACTTTCTTTTTGATTGATTATAGGTTTTTTTTTTGGGTTTCTCATTCAGTATTCGATACCTGCTTAGAGCCCGACTAATTTGACTTTACGCTGCATAATACTAATTAAAGGGAAAATACTTATTCAATTGTGGCAACCATATCAAAAACAAATAATTTAACACATAATTATAGTCATAAAAAGGATATTATCGGGAAGTCTTGTTTGGACAAACAGATCCGAAAATCAAAGACTATTTTCCAAGAAACGGAGTGCTTTTTTCCAAGGCTGGTACTACCTTGCTTCTAGTAATTTTACATTATTATTTAAAGTTATTATAATATTTTTTTATAATAAAAAAGTCAATCAATTTTGGTTAAATATCTCGGAAAGAAAACTTCTTTTTTTTTAAAGAAAAAAAAAGAGTCACTCAACTTTACCTATATATTATGCAAATTATCTCATTTTTTTCCCTAACGACTTTTCGAATATTTAAGAAAAGTCGAGTAATTTTTCGGTTATAATAAATAATTTAGTAACTCTTATGCTATTTGGGTCAAATTAAGTGATTGTTTTATTATAAAAATAATCTTTAATTATAATAAAATAAAAATTGAGTAGATCATACATGAAACTAACTCGTTGATTGAGAAATTTTGTGATGTTTCTTGTTTTTGGATCAGTCTTTAGCTTCCATGTAACTTCGTAGGAAATTACTAAATCTTAATTGTATAGCAAAAAGACAAAAAATATGGCCTAGACTTTTCTTCACCGGCTTGGAATTAAAAGATAAAAGATGTGACAGCTAGTTGTGTGTTTTTTGGACTTTAGGGGAATCAAAATTTCCATGGAAATTAATTGCTTTCTGTTTTAGGTGCAAAAATGTAATACATGTTTCTTTTTATTGATAAGATCTAAGTTGCGATCGAGGGGTCTGGATGGATAGGATTATTCTATCCTTATTGTTACGAGACTTAAGGTTTGAGTCCTTAGCTCGAGGGAAACTTTAGAGCAACGATAAGTTATCTCCGTATAATATATAGGTTACGGGTTCGAATCGTAGAATTGGTCACGGATACTTGCATCAAGGTAAGCTGCTTATATTTTTCTTGAGGTTCGATCCTTCCCCGAACCCTGCATGAACGCGAGATACTTTGTTACTGCTGCCCTTTTTTACTCATAGAGTTTTATCCTGCGCTAATCCAAGTTAATCTAGCAGATGAGTTCAAATGCTAAATGCCAAAAAGAAAGGAGGGGCCTTTTTGAATTGGTTTTTTCTATGGTACAATTGAAATAGTTGGCAACGTTATCAACTAAGGTACTCCTAGTTTAAAGTCTTTGGCCAACATGATAAAAAAATGACAACAAATGTGAACTAAAACCAAACCTCTCAATTTTCATATGTATGTTGTTTGTTTTTTTTATTAGTGGTGTCCGAGTCACCTTATGCGCGCTTCAACTTATTCTACAAGATACTTGTTGCCTCCCACCAGCAATAATTAGAAAGTCCACTCAAACTTGCCAATTTGGTAAAAATATATATAAGGTGCAATTTAAAGAACCAAAAAGGACTTAATAATGACAAAAATGGTCCCTTATATTTGAGGACAGGTTTAAGGTAGTACCTTAAGTATGTACTGAGCAGTTTTGGTCTTTTAAGTTTGTTAAAAATTAACATTTTTAGTCTCCCTCAAATATTTAATGAACTTTGTTTGTTAGTTTTGACGGGAACTTGTCAAAAGAAAGAAAATTAGCGATAACTTACATTTAAAGATAAATTTTTTGTAGTTTTTACTAGTTTCTTAAATCTATTTCTAGAGTTAATGCTGCTATTTTTGGTACTTTTTGGTGTCTAGTACAGTTCCTATCAAATCTAACAGACAGAGTTCTTAAATATTTGACGTAGACCAAAAATATTAATTTTTGACAAACTTAAAGGACCAAAATTGCCCATTTCATACTTAAAGGGGACTACTTTGAACCTAATGTAACATAAGAGATCATTTTTGTCATTTTCCCTTTCAACTCAAAATGTTTGCTATCACCAAAGGATGTGGTGCAGTAAATGTGACTGTTTTTCCCTTAACTAGAGGTCTCGAGTTCAAGCCCTGGGTATGAAAAAATTCTTGATAGGGAGCGCTTCCCCCCGAATGAAACTCTACGCGGTGCGAATCCGAATATAATCGGGCTCCAATACAGATACCGGACACATGGTGAAAACCCCAAAAATAAAATGTTGCTATAAAAGATGGTTTCTTCGGCATTCAGGATTGTTGGGTTCTATGAAAAAATAAATACAATGAGTTTCTTTTTCTTATTTCTCTTTTTTTTTTAATGTCAAATATTGTTTGATTAGATCAACCACGATGCTGGTGACTGGCCTTATGATTGCTTCTTGGTAGGAACAATACTTGCACAAATTCCTCCGTTCCAGAAGGATTCGGAGTACGAGGATCAAAGCACCTATATTTTTATGTGAATTCGAGCATAGGTTTGTCAAGTCTATATCAAATAATACTCTCTCCGTTTCATATTAGATGAGGTAGTTTAATTCGACACAGAGTTTAAAAAAAACAAGATTTTTAAAATTTAAGGTCTTAAAAGCTAAGGGGTAAAAAATTTGTGGAGCCATAACATTTGTGTGACTATAAAAACTTGTCATTAAGGATAAAATGAAAGCGTTTAAAATTGAATTATTTCCAAATTTAGAATCGTGTCATTTGTTTTGGAACAGACTAAAAAGGAAAGTACCTCATCTAGTATGAAACGGAGGGAGTAACATTTATTTTTGTAATAGTTTGGGAGCCAAGTAAAACTTAAGATATACTTGGAGAACAATAATTTGCTTGCTGGTAAAAAGTTTCCCCTACATTTTTTCTATAACTGCGGTGTCCGGCCCAGCTTGCGAGCACTTCGATTAATTCCACAAGATACCTACTAGCTCTCACCAGCAATAGGTATCGGGTAACTGATCATGCCCAACTATGCCTTATAAAAAGGACTAAGCGGTCGTTGCAAATATAATCCGGTTTACAAGTCCGGAATCGAATCCACAGAGAAGTAAGGTCTAGCTACAGTTGTTCACTATCACCAAGAAGACAAGCTTGGACAATTCTTAACTTATAAATATTAATATTCTTGTGTTTAACTAATTAACTAACAAATTAAAATAGTAAATTAACAACTAAAGATACTAAGGGTTAGTGACAAGATTAAGGAGGTCTAGAGTTATGATTTCTACTATTGTCGAAATCCTCCCGCTACGTTTTCTATAAATTCGCCTAAGTATTCTCTACCGATCATGAGCGCTATGACTTTCGTAACTCTCTCCCGAGTAATTACCACAATTTACTAGACATATTCACCTGAATTACGCTAGCTGGCATTAAGTACAGCTCACTCGGATCGCACCCAAGGTTTCGTTATCCCTAATCCCACCTTTAAACCCTTCGTATTGATCCCTCATATATGTTAAGAGTGATGTTGTTCAACAACTACCTAAATATGCATTCTCTCCGGCGTAATACACACTAAATAGGCACAGTCGATTGAGAGGTCTTCAACCAACCACAATATAAACGTAGTTGAACAAATGGAGAAAATACTACGGCAAATCTATATCAACGTAACAGGAAAATCATCATTCAATAGGTTCCATCAAAACCCTAGATAACAAGTTAGCTATTCATAATAGTATGCAACACTACAATACTAGATTTCATAACCAATAATGAAAAATAAGAAGAAGGAAGCGAAAAACTCGTAGAAGAATTCTCCGCCTTACTCCTAGTGTGTCCTTGTCTCCTTAGGTCGAATCCCCAGTTTTCTTAGACTCCTTAGGTCTAAATTATGTCAAAAGTGTGTCAAAAGTCCTCAAAATATTGTTCTTCCATGTATATATACTAAGTAGGGTTGGGCCCAAACAATTATACCTTCTCCTACGCGAAAAGGGACAATTTTCCCTAGCAGACGTGTGCGGCCGCGGTTGGACCGCGCATATCCACTTTTATTCTGCCTGACGAGCGCGGCCGCGCACTTGACGCGCACTTTTCACCATGTTCTGTTGGGAATTTGGAAAAATGTAAAACATAAAAGTTGTATCCCTTTGAGTTAGCTTTCCAACCATATATTGTGGAGCCCAAATGGAGTTCTAAGCGAAAAGTTATGTACATTTTACTAGATAGTACGCAATATGCCTACTCGATTCTTCGTTCGTTCTTACTATCATCCGTTGATCCTCGAACACTATCCCGGCTTAATTCCTTGCACCTTTACTTAGAATTCAAAGCTCCAAATCACTTGAATTCATTCCATAACATCTACATAGCTCGAAATCACTCATACAAGGCATAAAATACACCATTAGTGCAAAACACTAGCGATTAAAGCTCAAACTCAATTAAAGTGCAGGAGATTGGAATGTAATAATCGACTAAAATACGTAATTATAGTCTATCATCGATAACTCTATCCACCAAGGGTTCGGACATAAGGGAAGTCACCGAGTGTATTTTGTCTACGCTGGGGATTGAACCTAGGATCTCATGGTTTTAAACCCAATTTTATTGATCACTAGGCCCCACCCTTAAGCGCAAAAAAAAAGTTTCACCTACATTCACAAGGCACACACTAGACACATACACAGAGATACACTCCATAAGAATATGTGATTACAAGATACTTCAATATGAAGTGAAAACACAGAGACATAGTAAGAGGAATAGAAAGAGTATGGGACTCACTCTTTTTCTTCTATCATAGAGCATAAGATCAACTCAAGATCCAAAAGCAAGGCAGAGAGGGAGGGTCCTTATCGACGCTGACTTGCAAACTAAATGCAACTCGAATTGCAGTTCAGATGATCAGGTATTACCACGCCATGTATCGTTCCCTCTTTCCATAGATGAGAGAGAGAAAAAACATGAGAGACACAATAACCGTGGCGTATATGAGATATCCACAAAGGGCACTAAGGATGATCATGATCAATATACTCTTTCAGCCTGCATTTACAAGTTAAATGTGATACTTGTAGACCTCAAAAGATTCTCAACTTAAGTTAAATGTGATACTTCCTAAAATAAAATTTGTCGCTAGTCTATCTATATAAACTATTGATCATCTAAAGAACATTGCATTACTGAGACATATCTCTCGATCCATCAAGGTAAATTTGAAGGACATGAAAGTAATATTACCAGCAAGAGGAGGGTGCTTTGAAAGCTAATTTCCAAATATGTCATACTGGAGAAGAGGCTTTGCATCCAAACTTCAAATATGTCATATTTTCACAATACTGACCCATCTAACTCTAAATAAAAGATGAAAGAAATAAAGATGTACCTACACAAAAGTAACTTAAAACAGAACTTTTTATTCTAAGATCATTAACAAATAGAAACACCAGAAGACCAGATTTAACATGAAGATTCAAACAAAAAAGAAAAGAGTTAAGCCTTGAAATTCAAATTCCAAGATAGCTATCACATCTTCAGAACCACACCTCCTCATCAACTGAGTTACTGACAAAATAGAACGAAAATGTTTTTCTTTTCATCAACTCCTAATCACTGAACAGTCATTGTCCTTCTATCACAGAAATAGAGCAGAGATAAGATAAATAGTCGAACTTTGTCTAATCAATGAATGGATCAAAGGCTGTAAATCTGTAAGTACCAGCTCACATCATCTTGACATTTCTTTTAGTAGGAAGATATGCTTGTGTTGACGTATAGCTGGAATCATGTTTTCGAAATTATGCTTTCTTATCAAGCCAATTACGAGAACATTGTTATTACAAGCCACCACATGTTTCTTTTTATATAGAACAAGTGATTATATTTATAGCAAATATTTAGTGTTTCAAATTCTGAGTGCAAGAAGCATAATCAAGCCATTTCCTTCTTTACCGATGAACAGTTAACTATGTACTCAACTCTTGAAGAAAAACCTCAATGATGTGACTGATACCTAAGCACCTATGGTACCTGTATAGTGGTGACTTCTTTTTATATTCAAAATTTCTTCCAACTTTAAAGCATGATTAACAAGATTGAGCAGATTAGGTAGATAACAAACTTATCATCACGGAAATATATGAAGTAAAACATGTAATCAACCATACCTCTTTGACTTAGTGGGTGTATTCTCATTGTATGAAAATTGTAGTTTACAGCATTCTTGATGCCACTCCGGCAATAATGTCGGACATCAGCTAATCCACATGCAATAGAGAAGTATAATCAGTGTCTTGCAAAGTTAGTCTACCTAAGTACAAGTCACTAATATGGTTAGAGCATAAAGGGATGCATCTCTTGTTCAAACTCTCATGTATAGCACCCATTCCTGGAACCCACTTACTTCTATCCGATGGATCCAAATTAAGAAGATTCTGAAGTAACCTAATCCGGTAAACAATTGTATCTCTTCTGTCGCAAAAATGAGCAGCACATCGGTAAGAGGGCTCATCAGAAGCTAATCTAATCAATGCCATCCCCAGAGAAACATCAACAGGCTTTGGATCAATAAGATCATTATCTCCCATCATTTTGACTTCCCTTTCTGTCGGAAAATACACTTCTTCAACCCCATTAATATTTGAAACTTTCAGATCTTTGGTGTAATGTCTGATTGCCTCCCGCTTCGTGGATTCATGCTTCTCTGCTAAAGTCAAGATGCACGAGAATCTCAAATGATAAGATACTACAATCTTCAACTTTTTGAAGTTGTGGCAGCAGCAAAAGAAATCAAGCCACCTTCTCCCTATACCGGCATACCACTTGATAATATCAATATCTTCAAGTGCCATAAGTAAACTAATCGGCCTAGGACGGCCCATATGATTTGTGAATCCGACCAGCTTGACTGCTTTCCTAACAATTTCTAATGGTGCCTCAACTTTTATGCATAACTTTGTCAGATCTGCAACCGTCTGATCAGAGTATTTCCTTTCCTCTTCTTCCTCTGCTTTCTTTACTTGTTCCTCTAATACCCTTTTTGCTTTGACAGGATTTACATACCTGTCAACTTGCTCTTGAAAGTTGTCATAAGAATCCACTAGTTCTCGCGGCAGCTGATCTCTGATTCTTTTCAAAGAGAGGAAGTCACCAGCTGAGAGCATCCGGTGCCATTCCCAACGCTCATCGACAGATTCCAAAAAGTCTTGTATGACCTCTTCAGCCCAAGAATCAAAAATTTGGTTCACTTCATTCTCAATCGGGAAATCAGATTTGAAACCATTACCACGCTTCAACTTCTTAAATACATGACTGAATATCTTCATTCCCAATTTCTTCCTATTAGTCTCTTTAGCATTTCTCAACTCCATAGCTCTAACTTCTTTCTGTCGGAGGTACTTCTTCCTCGCCCTAATCGCCTTTTGTGACATCGGTGGGTGCAACACAGACGGTGTAACTGCCCGAAGCTCCATTCCCAAAAATTCTATCTTCTCAGAAGTAGCACTATGAATAACAGTTCTAACCTTATCAATACCGAATTCCATATCTTTCTCAAGAATTTGAACAAGCCTACTCTTCAAATCCATAGTCATCATCTTCGTTCCCGACGTGATAACCAATATCTCATCCAAATATCTAACCGTATATATCTTCAACGGCTTATAAAAAGCATGCCCCCGATATCCCTCATCAAGTTCATTAGCATCAACTCTCGGATTCTCCCTACTCGTTTTAAGCCTCAAATCTTGAATCTCCTTATCAAAACTATCAAAGTAAATGTTAATCAAAATTGAACTCAACCCACATTCTTGAGGAAACCCTCTACCTAAATAACAGCCACCCAATCGAATACTCACTATTTCACATTCAAACAACCTTTTTATCAAATAAATCAAAGCATCATCATCGATTTTCTCTTCCATAACCCTACACAACCTAACAACATGCTTACTTTCAAACTTTGCAGGATTCAAATTAACAGTAAACCACCAAGTGGGGTTCTCAACAGAGTTCTTAAGGTAACGAATGGCGGTGTGTCGGCCCATATTAACACGTCCACCATAACAGAAAGTCACAAACCTATCATCATATATAACTTCAAGAACCATTCTAATAGCTTCAATAACTACTTTAAGCTTTAAATTAGGAAGCACAAGTGATTTACCTATGATAAAGCTGCAATCTTTGATGTCAAATTGGTTTGTAGAGAGCTGAAAAGAGAGTTCTTGAAGTGAGAAAAAATGGGTTGAAACAGAATCAAGAGTGAGTTGAGGGGTAGTATTGTAATTATCATTTGGGGGTTTGAGATTATGGCAAGCTGAGAGGAGGAAAGAGGGTAAAGAGATGATGTTTTTGAGGAGGTTGTGAAATTTTCCATGGTTATAATTGGAGAAAATGAGGTTCTTGATTTCTGATTGTGAAAGGGTTGAAAGGCGGAGTTTTGGAAGTGAAAAAGGTTTAATCTTGGAAGCAAAGTGCAGAGTGAAGTTGGGTTTGGTTCTTCTGAGAGTTAAGAGCATTGAAGCTTTGAGGGTGCAGGTGAAATTACAATTTAATTTATCACTTAATTTAATTTTGAATTGAACATTAGGTGAAGGTGAAAGAGTTGAAAGGTGGAGTCTTGGAAGTTGGAAGTGAGAAAAATGTAATTTTGGAAGTAAAGTTCAGTGTGAAGGTGGGTTTTGTTCTTCCGAGCTTTGCGGGTAAAATTCTGATGACTCTGATTTTTCTGTTCCAGTTTGAGGTTTTTAGCTTGATGGAATCGAGTCTATGAGTAGAGGTCTGTTAATTCTAAGAATAAGAAAGTAAATTTTGGGGTCACAATTGAACCTATACCCACTTTGCAAAAATATTTGCAAGCCTGCCCATTTTATGATCAACTTCTGAAGTTAAAAAAATTAGTCTAAAGTAAGAAATTGCACTTCGGATGCACTTAAGGCCAAATAGGTATGAAATGCAACCAATGGTTCCATGCACTTAAGGTCAATTAGTCTGAAGTGAAAAATTGCATGCACTTAAGGCCAAATAGGTCTGAAGTGCAACCAATGATTTCATGCACTTAAAGATCAATAAGTCTGAAGCGAAAAATTACACTTCAGATGCACTTAAGGCCAAAAGGTCTGAAGTGTAACAAAAGTTTTCCTACACTTAAGGCCAAAAGGTTTGAAGTGCAACCTAATCTAAAGGAGAAAAACAAGAGAAAGAAAAAGGCACATGGGTTGCCTCCCTAGAAGCGCCTGATTTAACATCACGGCATAACGCAGATTACCAATCACTGGAAATGGAGAACCGCCATGATGTGGCCATCATCAACCTTTCCAAGATAGTGTTTAACCCGGTGCCCATCGACTCTAAACACCTCATCATTCTTATTTTTCAGATCTAGAGCACTGAAGGGGATTACATTTACCACTTCAAATGGCCCACTCCATTTTGATTTCAACTTTCCGGAAACATCCGTAACGGGGAATTAAACAATAGCACAAGATCACCTTCTTTAAATTCCTTATTATGGATGTACTTGTCACGGAGGCACTTCATCTTCTCCTTGTAAAGGGACGAACTTGTGTAGGCATGGTACCGGAATTTAGCAAGCTCATTCAATTGTGACAACCTTTAGGTTTGCTACGACATCCTACTCAAGGTTCAACTTTTTCAAAGCCTACATGGCCTTATTCTCGAGTTCTACTGGAAGATGGCATGCCTTCCCAAACACCAATCAATATGGAGACACCCCAATGGGCGTCTTGTAGGCCGTCCTATAAGACCAAAGAGCATCATCAAGTTTTCTTGACCAATACGTCCGGTTGGCATTGACTATCTTTGACAAAATACTCTTGATCTCCCGGTTAGAGACTTCAAAAATGACCTAAGGAATAATAATCACTGCATCGCTGATGTCGCCCAAACTCACACTACAAATATAGATAGTGTGGCGGTTGAAGCAATAATAAAACCCAACGCGAGTCGGGGTCGAATCCTCAGGGAGTTAGAAATGGGATTAGGTATACACCTAGTGTAATTGTATAATGTTCCTCAATCTGGGGATTAGGTATCTCCCATCTGGGGAAGATTTTGAGTGTAACTCCGTGCAAGCACAGCCGGAAGCCCAATCACAACAAATCCCAGGTAGATTCCACTTGGTGGATGAGTTATCTTCTGCTGCCAATTCGTCTGAAGGTTCGGAAGAGGGTAGTCAAGATCTGAGCCCTCTTCCTCCTGCTCCAATTAATGTGGACGATGATGATGATGTCCTGAACGATGGTAGAGGGGGTGATAGAATAGTGGGAGGTTTAGAGAGATCAAGGAGGCCGAAGATATGGGAAGACAGATTCATCAGTACCAATGCCTTTGTAAAGTTTAAAGAATGGTGGCCACAAAGTTTGCTCACTCTTCGAGCGATAATTCTTGATGGAGGATATGAACAAGCACAACCCTAATGTACTTAGACAATTCCAGGAGCGAAAAGGATGGAAATGGTTCACCAACAGCGTCCTAGATGCAAATGAGCACCTGGTCAAGGAATTCTACGCAAATATAGCTCACATCAAAAAGGGTACTAAGGTGACAAAAGTGCCAAATCTAAAAATCCACTTTGACTCCTCTGCACTGAACAAATATGTGGGGTTTGAAGAAGTAGAAGCAGTGCAATACTTGGAAAAGCTAGCTATGGGTGATGTAGTTTGTTCGTGGTAAGCTGAGATTCTGGTAATCCGAGGGTCAACACCTCCGTAGCTCACAGCAAGGGTTCCAATAGTCCGAGTCACCCTAAACTTTGAAGCAAAAAGGTGGCAAACATTGATCCTTGCCTCAAAGAGAACAACCTCCCATTTTCCCGTGCAATTTTGGTGGCATCCATTATGGCTGGGTATCCGATTAATGTTGGTGCCATCATGTCCACCAACATCACTTTAGCTGTCCAGAAGGGTGAAAGATCCTATCCGTACCCGAACTTCCTCACAGAATACTTTAAGGATCAAGGGGTGGAGCCGAGGCATTATGATACCGAAGAAAGGCAAAGAAACCTTTCTCATGGTACCACCTTCAAGGAGCTGACAACCCGAAATTCAAAGGTAAAGCTACTACCCCCACTGGACAGTCTGAGGAGCCAGCGGTAGTGGTTACTGATTCGGCTGTTGAGCCTTCATCATCTACATTACCTCCCACAGCAGCCGACCCTTCCATCGGGACAGCGGACATGCCACCATATTCCTTTGCCAGATTATCAGTGCCAGTCTCATCTACATATCATCAGACTGCATTGCGAGTCTCCCAGACATTAGCGAGTCTCAACAAATGGATGCAGGCAGCCACTACAAAGTTGACTGACATATCCAGTGTTGTTGCAGCATAGTCCTCCGGCCCAATAGTCTCAGTTATGGATGTCCAATGAGATGGGTCGTCCCATCCCACGTCCTGGCCCAGCCCGTCCTGGCCCACTTCATTCTAAACGGGATGTGCCCATGTTAAACGTGACACGGGGTGGGACGGGATGGCTATTTCGTCCCGTTTTGCCCCGCCCCGCCTGTCTCGCGTAATTTTTTTTTGAATTCTAGCCATTGGGCAAAGGCTTCAATTGCAAAAATAGTCGTTCCCAACGGCCAAAAATGGCTATAATTGGGAGAAATATACATGGCAGAGCACTTCTTAAAAAATATTTTAAAAAATATTAGCAATCTTTATTTATTACATATAGAGAAGTTCTTTTTGCACTAATGGCATATTGTAAAAATAAGCAAATAATTAATGAATAGCGAAAAAGGCACAAATCATGGGATAGTTGCAAAGCACTCTCTCTCTCATCGTCTTTTTCAAAAGAACCCAGAGTTTCTCCTCTCTCTTCGTATTTTCTCAATCTCTTGTCTTATTTTCTCCGATCACTCGATTTAGCAGCGGGATTCCATTACAGTTACTGAGATTTCGCTCAATCATTCCACAATATTCGAAACATATGGAATGGGATTCGGAGACGCCAATATAATTTTCCTCCGAGGGATCTTTGGCTGAATATCAAGCACAACATTAGCATATTGAGTAACTTTATAAACATAATACACATTCCAGAGAAAATTGATACATGTAGAATGTGTATAATAAGTTATACATAACATGAAAAGTGAAAAATGCGTACTCATAAAAAATATATAACACGAATATAATGTGTAGTCAAAATTATACATGGAGGTATAAAAATATACCCAAGTAATACTACATATATGGAAAGATTTAAGGAATAAAACATAGGGATATTTATGACATATTTACTGAAATGATATAATATATCAAGCATACTTACCAGCTATTGCAGGGTTTGTATATTTAACGATTTGCGATTTGGGGACGTCAATATAATATTCTTCCATGGGATCTTTTGCTGAATCTGCAATGCCAACATCAGCATTTTGATAGACTTTGCGTATATCAAGATATATTAAATTATTATACCAATAATGTATAGTAGTAAAAAAAAGTAGGCAAATAAGTGAAATACTAACTTAAATGATAAGCATGTCAGCAATTAAGTTCCATTTATTTATACCTGACATAAACTTATACTAGGAATATATCATTGATCTGCATATGTCAAACACCCTAAATGCAAAAATATATGGTATAATTGTAAATTATATGCAGTATAAACCTCATTACATTAAAATATACTTGATATAAAAAGAAAAACATATCTAAATATGCAACCAATATATATCATAAGACAGAGAAAAAATAACATTGATTATCACAAAGTCCAGTGTAACTGAAAGTCTGTTTACTTGGCAGCTCATGCCACTCAAACTGCAAAAAAGGATTACGGCCGTTACAAATATCAATTTCCTGACGCTAAGGAGGTTAGTCATCTTAATTAACGCTAAGGATGTTAACTAGTGTAACTGAAAGTCTGTTTACTTGGATGCGTGAATTAAGGTATAGGGTTTAAAGGATTTTGGCTAGGAATATAATTATTTTGTGGCCTTATGTGCAAAATACATAATGGTGCTACATCAGTGGAAATTTTCCTATTTGTTTGCCTACTTATGTTTTTTGCTCAGCCCCCCCTCCTAAAACACTCATACCCCCCAAACTTTTAATATAACTCCTAAGTTTATTAAATTTCACTTTGGCCCTATTTTCAATTATAAATACCCCCATCCTTCTTCATTTTTTCCCACAAAAAAATCAATCATTCTCTCTCAAATCTCTTACATTCTATCTATATTATTCTCTCAATTTTCTCACTATCAAATGATGACTTTCAAATATTTGGACAAATTTTTGTAGCAACTTTCAAGCTTCAAATTAATTCGTCAAGTATTTGGAGCAATATTTTGGGCAATTTCTTCAAGTTTCAATATTTAATCACGGTGCACTCGTTTCATCTCCTAATTTTAATATATAAATTTTGCGTATCATTTTAGTGCTTAATTTTTGTGTTTACTTTACGTGTTCTATTTTCGTATTTCATTTGTGTGTTTAATTTTTGTGTTAATTTTTAAATTTAATTTTGTATTTAAATTATGGCACTTAAAAATGTATTTGGCTTATTTAAAAAAAGTAATAAAAAATAGTAAAGGTGAAAGCAGTAGTAATCCTAATCCTAGTCCTAATCCTTACACTTCTCCTAGAATTAGAAAACATATAGATGAAATGACTCATGTTGATGAAACTTCATTTTTCTAACCCCCGCATGTTATAATATTAATTTCGGAGAACAACTA